CATCCCAGGCCCCAAATCCCTTTGGGATCGCGGACGGGTCGGACGTGACCTCCCGAGAGCCCCAAAATCATCCTCGGCTTGGCTTGGTGGCCACGCCCGGACATTCCTGGGCACCGCGCCCTCAATTTGGGCTCCGCTTTCATCGGGGAGGCGTCACCGCAGCCCAAATTTGAAAGGGCGGCYCAGGGAGGGCCCCGGCGAGTCACGAACCGGTTGGGGAAGGGGGAACGCGGAGCTTTGAAGGGCGGCACGAACCTCCCGACCTCGGGCGGCTGCGATTCTGCGGTTTTTTGGTTTTTTTTTTTCAGGGGCCGGAGCAGGGGAGGGATTTTTCTCCCCGCTTTTGTTGAGCACGCCCCGGGTTGAGTGAGGAGAGCGGGGCGCGGGCGGGTTTTGCTGCCGGATCACCAAAACCGCCCCAAACTCACCCAAATTAACGCTTTCTGCTCTCTCCCGCGCAGGTTTAGGACCCCCTCACCCCACCATGCATTACCCCGGTGAACGCTGCCCGTCCCTGTTCCTGCCCGGCCCCAAATTCATCACCGAGACCCTCCCGCAGCTCCCGCCGGGCCCCAAATTCATCACCGAGACCCTCCCGCAGCTCCCCAAATTCATCACGGAGACCCTCCCGCAACTCCCGCAGCTCCCCAAATTCATCACGGAGACCCTCCCGCCGCAGCCCGAGGTTTTCACCAACACCTGCCACCCCCTGAGCATCACCAAGGGCCCGGTGCCACCGCGCTGGCAGAGCTGTCCCCAAGCCCCGGCCCGCGCGTGTCCCCAAGGCCCCCCCGGTGGCACCGCGGTGTCGCTGCTGCCGTGCCGGCCGCTGGTGCAGAAATGCCTGCTGCTCTACCCKGAGCCCTGCGACACCACGCGGCTGCTGCCCCGCCGGGAGGTGGCCCCGAGGGCCACTCAGACCCTGCCGGTCCCGGAGAGCCCCCGCGGCGACAAAAAACGCGTGKCCCGGAGCCTCCCGCCGTGCGCGCCGCGCTGCCCCAAACCGGGCAAGCTGCGCTTCCCCCCGTGCGGCATCAGATCCTCGGCGTCCTGCCGGGGCGAGTGCCGCTCGCACAGGGTGGCCAAATGCCCGTCTCGCTGCCCGGAGCTGATCAGCGGCTACTCCCTGCCCCTCGGAGGGGTCACCGAGTGTCCCCCTCAGCCGAGCCTCGGCCACTCGTCCTTCCTGCGCGAGTTGCTGGCGCAGCACCGCTGCTGCAAGGGTTACCCGACCCAGGAATGCATCACCTCGTACCGCTCCGAGCAGCTCCTGAGCAGCTCCGCCCGCTGCGATGGCCCCGCCAAAGCCGCCCCCGAGCGCCGCCCGCTCAAGGAGGTGGCCAAGATGCCCGCGGAGGTGGCCAAAACCAAGGGCTCCTCCTCGGCGCAGCACCTGAGCAAAACCCGCTGTCCCCACGTCCGAGTGACCCCGCGCTCCTCGCACCTGAGCGCGGCCAAGCGCTCCGGCCACTCCAAGAAAAGCCGCTGCGCTTCCAAGTGGCTCTGGTGAAGGAGGAGCGGGAGATTTCGGGAATCCGGCGGGAGATGGAGCCGAGAGTTGCGGTGATTCCCGGCTCCCATCCCGTTCCTGCCCCCCAAGTGCATTTTTTCCCCTTATTGTGCCCCGTAAAGTGAATTCGCCGTTTTATTTCGCCCCCGATTCGGATTTTCCAGCGCCTGGAAGGTGTTGGGGAGAGGCTGAGGGGCTCTGAACCCCTCGGAACCTCAAACCGGCACCTTTGGGACAACGTCTGCGCCCGGTTTTTACCGCTGTGGGATCAGTCCCGCTCCGGTTGTACCATTCCCATTAAACTCCGGTTTGCAGATGGATTCCTGATCTCTGCCTGGTTTATTTTCCATCTTTTAAAATTGTTTCTAATTCCTTCTCCTGGGAAGAAAAAAAAAAAAAAAAAAAAGAAAAAAGAAAAAAACCCAAAAAAACCAAAAAAATCCCCACCCAATAAAGCCATTCCCTGTTGTTGCATTACTCTTTTGGGTAAAACAAGGAAAACAATCTTAATTTTTGGGCTGGGTTCACTACTGTGGATTTACTGTGAGAATGGGACGATTTTCCTCACGGGAATTTCTTCAGCTTCCTCAGCTTCCACTCGGTCAATCTGAACCCATTCTCCCTTTTTCTTGGGAAAAATCTCCCCCCATATTCCCCGCAGCCCCTTCGGGTCCTGCAAGACCACAGTGGGGTCACCCCAAAACCTCTCCAGGCTGAAAAATCCCAATTCCCTCAGCCTTTCCTGCCGGCAGAGCTGCTCCACGATCCCCCCAAAAACGGGGAAGGAAGAAGGGGAAAAAAGTTTAATTGGAAAAATCCGAGCTCCCGATTCCGCGGATTTGATGTCGAGAACGGGGATGAAATAAAACCCCCAAAAAAGTCCCAAAGCAGCCGCGAAATTGTGCCCGAATTCCGTTCCCTCCACGTGGCTCTCCCGCTCCTTTTTCTCCCTCATACCGAGGTTTTCCGGGTGGGATTTGCCCCTGGAAARGTCACGGATTTTGGGGAAAGGGAACGGGGAACCCCAAAAACTCCGCGGGGCGGTGCTGCCGCCTTGTGGGGACAGAGCGAACTGCGGGCGGAATTCCATCCCCGTCCCGTTCCCGTTCCCGAATCCCAAAGGAGCCCGAGCCGTCCCCGATTCCAGAAATCAGGAGGGAATTCTGATGGATTTTCCTCCTACGAGGAAAACCGGGAGGTTAAAATGAGTTCCAAGTTTGGGGAGGTTTGGGGGCTCTGCAGGTTAAGCGGCGCGGGAACAAAAATTCGCATTTTCCCAGGGATTTTTGCTGTTTAGAAACAGAAATTCCCATTTTCCCCGGGATTTTTGCTGTTTAGGAACAGCAATTCCCATTTTTTCCCCTGGTTTCTTTTTCTGTTTAGGAACGGAAATTCCCGGGTTTTCCCAGGATTTTTGCTGTTTAGGAACAGAAATTCCCGGTTTCCCCCGGGATTTTTGCTGCTCTTAATGAGGAAGGTTATCAAAGCACAAATTTGGGATTTTCACCACAATCCCAAAAATCCACAATAACAGAGCTCGAAGGGATCAGTTCCCATTGGGAAGGAGAAATTCCAGGGCCTGAATTTTTTATTTTTATTTTTGGAAAAGCCGATAAGAACCTGGAATCGTCTTTCGTGACAGGATGAAGGAAATAAAATCCCAATAATGATGTTCCCACACAGCGTCAAAACATATCAGGAATATTCATGAGAGATTTAGGCATGCAAAGCGTTGCATAAAAAAAAAACAAAAACATTTGCGATATAAATAACAAATTATCCCAGGAAAACTCTTGGAATATTCCCTCCCGGATGGGAGAGACAACTCCARAAATAAACAGGATGTTGTTTTCCAGCCCCGCTCCGGGTGTTTTGAATATTCCTCAAACAAAAACCCAATGGATTTCTCCTCAAAAATCCTCCCCAAATTGGCGCCGAAGCGGTGCCGGCTCAGCCTGGGGGGAATTTCCAGGGGCAGGAATTGATTCCCAGGAAATTCCAGTTCGTCGGAATAAATTATCCAGGAATTTGTGGARTCTCCTTCGCTGGGGAATATTCCGGAGCCGTCCCAAAAATCCCGAGCCATTCCAGAATTTTCTGGGATTCCCTCAGCTCCGARGATCCGCCCAAATCCTTGGAAAAATCAGCAAAACTCCACAAAACTCCCCGATTTTCCAGCATCCACAGGATTTTTTTTTTTCTCCTTCATATTTAAATCTCCCTCGAGGCGCTTTTAGCCCAAGGAAAAATTGAGTGGGAATTGTGGGAATTGCCCACGGAAAAGGGGTTGGAATTGGCTGAGATTTAATTCCATTTCCACCCAAACCACCCCAGGATTAATCCCAGGAATCCAAATCCAGCCACAATCCCTAAAACCGCTCCCGAAATTAATATTTCCCCCGCAAAAACCGCAAAGAAATTCCGTCTGTGACAGGATTTCCCATGGAAAACGGGAATAATGGAGGGTGAGGGGGGTAAACAACCCCAAAAATAATTAGCGGTAATTAAGATTATTACACATGAGGGAAGAGCCATTAAAACCTCGTGGCCGGAGGTTGGCTCAGCTTCCTCGGGARTTCGGGGGTTCTTATAAAACTCCCGGGATTCGGGGCCGCCCCGGCCATTCCCATCGATTCTTTCCTGGAATATTTTGGTAAGTCTCTCTCACTTCCATTGAATTAAATTTTTTTGGGAAAAAAAACCAAAAAAACAAAAAAAAAAGCAGGAATTTTGCAACTCCAAAAATTCCAGAGGAGATTTTCCTGCCTGGAATTTGGATGTTTGGGGTGGAGCCCAGCCTTAAAAATGTATCAATGGGGGCGGGAATTCTTGTTAAAATCCCCAAAAAAATCCGTTTTAATCCGTTACCAATTAACAATAAATAGTTCAAAATTCAGTTTTTAATTCCGGTGGGATTTGGATGAGTTTGTCACAAAATCGTGGAATATTTTTGGGGATAGAAAGGATTTTGAAGGTCAGATCATCCATAAATCAGGATGGTCAGTAACATTTTATTCGTGTTTTTCCATAAAAAATTTGGAGAAAACCTGGGATTTTCCTTCCCTCCCCCCAAAATAAAATTATTGTTCATAAATAAGATTTAATTTTCAATGGGATAAAAAGGGAGGAAAATATTTCCYTCCTTATTTTCCTGCCAAAATGATCCAAACCAGAGCTCATTTCCCTAAAAATTTGCTTTTTCCCCCAAATTTCCAACTGGCCAGGGAATTTCTTTGGTGCACAACTCCATTTTTGAGAAGAAGAAAACTCCAATTCTGTTGTTTTCCCACCCAAAAACTTWGGGAATTSTCCSAAAAGAGYWTTTGATCTCCATGGAAAACCCCATRGGATAAATAATGGGAATTCCCTGRACTTTTCCAGYAGAATCTTTGGAGAAAAACAGGAATTTTAAGGCTTAACCCAACACCTACCTCCGAAGGAGCTTCTGGAAGAGCCTGGAATTCTCCAGGGACAAAAAATTAAAAATTTTTATTGGGAATCATCCGTAGCTTTTAACCCGGCAGGTAAATCCCAGGATAAATTCTGGAATTAATTCCTCAAAAATATGAGTTCAGGATCCAGGGGGAAAAAAGAATAAATTGGGCACAAAAATTCCACGTGGAGTTCTCAGCTCAGGAGGGGTCTCTGGGATTTAAGAGGAAGGGTTTTCCCAGGAATTTCGGGAGAAAATTGAGGATTTTTGGGGGCGAAGGAAGAGCTCCGGACGCGGATCCGGGAGCGATCCCGAGCTCTGGAATTTGCTCGGGATAATTATCCAGGGAGGGTTGGGCACACCGAGATAAACAAATCATCCCGGGAAGGGCCGGAAAATCATGGAATCCAGGGTGGGATAAAACCGGGGTGGGGTTTTTTGGGAAAGTTGAGGCGGGTGGGAAAAAGGGGAAAAGGGGGAACAGAGCCCGGAGTTCAGTCTAAAAGTAACATTAAAAAGCGGAATGAAAATTGGAAAAATAGGACATTAAAAATTAAATAATTATTGTTGGAAAATGAAATTAATTTTAAGAAAATAGCTAATATTAAAAATCGAATTAATAATTAAGGATATAATAAGGATTTTAACAAGATTTTGAAAATCAGGATTTAAAAAATAAACGGAAAAGTAACATTGAAAATGAAATGATTTCTTTTAGAATTAAGTTAAAACATTAAATAAAAATTGTAAAAAAAATAAAACACGAACATAGAATGGCATTTAAAAAATAACAATGACAATTCTGCAGAATTTTTAATCAAATTTTCAATTTGACAATGAAAAAACAACAATGAAAACTCGACAGAATTTTTAATCAAAAATCAAGTTAAAAAAACGAATACGATTTTTAAAACAACGATGAAAATGAAGTGGAATTTGAAAAAAAATTTTGGCCCGAATAAGATTTTAGAAGTAAAATTAAAATTAAAATGAAATTTAAAACTAAAATAAATATTAACCAGACCAGGCTTTCTCCCACTGGGATTTACGACTAAACAGGAACAAATTTCCCAATTCCAAGACATTTTTGATGTTTTTTCCCTGCAGGTTCTCCATAACTTTTCCCAGATGTGTCCGGAATTCTCGGCGCCGTGCCCACGGCCGGCGGTGTCCGGTTCCAGCCATCCCTGCGTGGTTTCCTGYGGCTCTTCCAGGGTCATCATCTTCCCTCCCCCGGTTCTCGTCACCTTCCCGGGGCCCATCCTCAGCTCCTGCCCGCAGGAAACGGTGCTGGGCCCGCCGGGAGCGCCGGACGGAGCGGCCGGAGAGTCCCCGAGGTCACACGGGATGGAAACGTCGTGTCCGGAGTCGTGTTCTGGGGGATTTGTCCCAAAATTCAACTCTGGGACAATCCTTGGTGTGGATCCTCAAGAGACCACATTGGGAAGCTCGGGAGTTGCAGAAAGAAGAGCAGGATTTTCCTTGAGATCCCTGGGAGCCCAAATCCCGCGTTCTGGGGAATTTGTCCCAAAATTCAGCTCTGGGCCAATCCTCGGGGTGGATCCACATGGGACAATGTTGGGAACCCCGGGAATGTCGGAGGGAGAAGCGGGAGCTTCCCTGGGAGCTCAAATCCCGCGTTCTGGGGGATTCGTCCCAAAATTCGGCTCTGGGACAATCCTTGGGGTGGATCCTCATGGGATGGTGCTGGGAACCTCTGGAATTCCAGAAGGAGGAGTGGGAGCTTCCCTGAGATCCCTGGGAGCTCAAATCCCGCGTTCTGGGGGATTCGTCCCAAAATTCGACTCTGGGACAATCCTTGTGGATCCACATGGAACAATGTTGGGAACCCTGGGAATGTCGGAGGGAGAAGCAGGAATGTCCCTG